GGTGAAGACGTCCAAATGGACAGAAGTGAGAACGACCTTCTTGAGGATGACATTGATATATTCAGGGACCTGCAGTAATCCCTGAAATATCATGTCAGTCATAATGTAATGTCCGCATGTAGAGTTTGGCCATGCATGCTCCTGAAGAGCATTTGTAACATGTTAAATGGACCCAAACTCCTTGCAATATTTATGAATGTTGGTCTTTCTTTTGTAATATATGTTTTATGTTAAATCCCCAAATTCTTATGATTTTTGGCGGGCCTCATGGGAGCCCAATGGCTGAAGCGGAGATATGTCTTATAGATAGTGGCACCACCAATACAATATTGAGGGAAACCAGATATCTCCACACTTTGACTAAGAAAAGTGGAAATATTATGACCATTGCCGGAAGCAATGCTCATATTGTGGGCACCGGAAGTGCCACACTGGTTCTCCCTATGGGTACTCAAATCTTTGTGAAAGATGCACTATTGTATCCCGACTCGAAGTGCACGCTCCTGAGCTTCAAAGATATCCGTGCGAATGATTTCCACTTTGAAACCCAGATTGAGCAAGATACTGAATACCTGTTCATCACTAAATTCGACGAGTACCAGAAACGTGTGGTGGAAAAACTCCCTTCATCGTCATCAGGTTTGTACTACACATACATAAAACCCACTAAAAGATATGTTGCAATGAAGGCCATATTCAAAGACACAGAGTCTTTTAGAATATGGCAGGACCGTTTGGGTCATCCTGGGTTAGGTATGATGAGAAGAATCATCAACAATTATGCTGGCCATAGTGTTGAAACTAAAAACTTCCCAAATCCTGAAGATTTTGTTTGCACTGCATGTGTAAAAGGAAAGTTAATCACTAGACCATCCCTCCTGAAGATTAGGGATGAGTCACCTGTGTTCCTGCAAAGGATACATGGTGACATTTGTAGACCTATTCAGCCCCTGTCGGGCCCGTTTAGGTACTTTATGGTACTGATTGATGCGTCTACCAGATGGAGCTATGTGGACCTATTGTCCACTAGAAACCATGCTTTCTCCAAGCTTATCGCCCAAATAATCAAGCAAAAAGCAAGTTTCCCTGATAACCGCATTCAGTCCATTCGGATGGATAATGCTGGCGAGCTCAGGTCGAAAGCTTTTGATGATTACTACTTAGCCATGGGCATTAAGGTAGAGCATTTAGTATCACATGTCTAGACACAAAATGGTCTAGCTGAATCCTTGATCAAAAGGATCAAGTGGATTGCCAGGCCATTGCTGCAAAATTGTAAGCTGCCAACCAGTTGTTGGGGCCTTGCAGTGCTACATGCTGCAGCACTAATCCAACTCAAGCCAACTGCATATCATGACACATCCCCCCTACAACTGGTGCGTGGGAAAGAACCAAGTATTTCCCATCTGCGTATATTTGGATGCACGGTGTACGTGCCAATACCACCACCCCAGCATACATCAATGGGATCCCACCGGAAGTTGGGGATATATATTGGTTATGTGACTCCGTCCATAATCAAATATTTGGAGCCTATGACTGGGATCTTCATACGGCTCGATACGCTGATTGTGTCTTCGATGAAGACCATTTCCTAGCATTAGGGGGAGATAGGCATCCAGAAGAATGCCGGGAAATTGAATGGAAAGCAACCGGGATGTGATCCTTAGACCCACGCACCAATAAGTCTGAACTGGAAGTTTAGAGGATCATACATTTGCAAAATCTTGCAAATAGACTGCCAGATGGCTTCACGGATCACAAAAGAGTAACAAGGTTGCATATACCTACAGTAAATGCGTTGGAGAGAGTACAGGTACCCCAGAAGGTCACCACTCTACTGTTTCTCCTAATCCTAGGAAGAGGGGGAGACCTCCGAGTGCTCAGGACAAGGTTCCACGGAGACGTCCGCAGAAATGAGGACCTGAGCCACTTGCGTTACTCAAGGAATCGGTTGAAGAAGCTCAACCTGAAGTTGAGAACGCCCCTGAAGAGGCAACTCAACCTGAAGTTGAGATGGTCCCTGAAGGACCCCATCCTGAGGATGGAAATCCCAATGGACCGTGCGCACACTATCGCATTGGAAGATTGGAACGCCCCAGCTCAATCGTTATGGGAAATCACGATGAGCAGGATGACGATCATGAGGAGATCGCCACTAATTATGTGGAGTCGGAAGAGTCATATCATAGAAAGACCACTGTAGTCGACATATATTTCGCCTTAAAAATTGCTGACTCAATGCATATGGATTCAGAACCATAGTCCATGATAAAGTGTCAGAAGCGCTCAGATTGGGATAAATGGAAAGCAGCAATTAAGGTAGAGTTGCGCTCGCTTTACCAAAGAAAGGTCTTTGGGCCCGCGGTCCCAACACCTCCAAAGGTCATCCCTGTAGGATGCAAATGGGTCTTCCTTTGGAAGAGGAATGAACATGGCGAGGTGGTAAGATACAAAGCGAGGCTAGTGGCACAAGGGTTCACGCAGAGACCCAATATCGATTATGATGAAACTTACTCTCCTGTTATGAGAGGCATAACGTTCCGATATCTTATATCTATGGCAGCTAACTTGAATTTAAAAATACAGTTGATGGATGTACTGACCGCATACTTGTATGGGTCGCTTGATTCAGAAATCTATATGAGAGTCCTTGAAGGACTCAAGATCCCTAGACCGAATCAAAACCGTAACATGTTCAACGTCCGCTTGCAGCGATCGTTGTACGGGTTGAAACAATCCGGAAGGATGTGGTTCAATCAGTTGAGTAACTTTCTCCTGAAGAGAGGTTACACGAACAATGATGATTGTCCATGCGTCTCCATAAAGAAGTCCAATGATGGATTTTATATCATCTCAGTCTATGTCGATGATTTGAACATCATCGGGACCGCAAGGGACATTGAGGAAGCAACGACTTACCTCAAGGCGGAGTTTGAGATGAAAGATTTGGGTAAAACCAAGTTCTGCTTGGGCCTGCAGCTCAAGCACCTCCCTGAAGGAGTGTTTGTGCACCAGTCTACTTACATAAAGAGGGTACTTGAGAAATTTAATATGGGCAAATGTCACCCTCTAAGAACCCCAATGGTTGTCCGATCCTTGGAAGTGGATAAGGACCCATTTAGACCAAAGGGTGACGATGAGAAAGTATTGGGACCTGAAGTTCCATACTTAAGCGCCATTGGAGCACTAATGTACTTAGCAAACTGCACAAGGCCTGATATTGCGTTCGCAGTAAATTTGTTGGCAAGGTACAGTGCTACCCCGACCAGAAGACATTGGGTTGGCGTCAAAACTATCCTCAAATACTTACAAGGTACCCAAGACCTTGGTCTATGGTTTCCGAAGAACCAAATCCCAACCATGGTGGGGTATGTAGATGCTGGCTATATGTTTGACCCACATAATGCCAGATCCCAAACTGGTTTTGTGTTTCTTTGTGGTGGTGCAGCCATTTCATGGCGGTTTGTGAAACAAACCTTGGTTGCCACGTCCACCAACCATTCAGAGATAATTGCACTTTATGAGGCCACACAAGAATGTGTTTGGCTCAGACGAATGATTGGTCACATCCAGAAATCATGTGGCCTGGGGCCTAATAGTTCCCTCACCGTTATCTATGAAGATAACGTTGCTTGTGCTGCACAAATGGATATGGGCTATGTGAAGAGCAATCTCACAAAACATATTGCTCTAAAGTTCTTTTATCCTCATGAGCTCCAGAAGAGCGGGGTAATAAGTATCATGCAAACTAAGTCCTGTGAAAATCTTGCAGATTTATTCACAAAATTCCTGCCAGCTTCTAGCTTCTACAGATGTGTCAATGGAATTGGCATGAAACGACTTGAAGAGTTGCAGGATTTAGGGGGAGAAAGCACCCTGAAACATAGTTCATAAAATGTGATCCTGAAGATAAAAAACTGGTCCTGAAGACCAGTAGGTCCTAAAGGCCTAAAAATTGCTTGTTGGTCCCGGATACCTGATCTTGAAGATCAAATTGTTGTACTATTTTTCCGTTGGTCAGTTTTTTCCACTGGGTTTTCTCGCGTAAGGTTTTTAATGAGGCAACAGTTGCAACATAGCTGGCGCAAGTGATGTACTCTTTTCTCCTACTCTTTTTTTCCCACTAGATTTTTAGGAGTTTCTAACGAGGCATACACAAGCACGATTCACCCCTTGGGGAGTGTTGTGAAACGTGAAGTATGGATTTGGGTGAATCATATATGACAAAGCGCTAATATGACAGAACGCTAATATGACAAAGCGCTAAAAAGGCGCATGGGAGTGCTGGAGAATCCGACGGAAGCGCTGTCTGTCGGTCACTTCTATAAATAGAGACGAGTTCGTCTGTCATGTATACACAGGCAACTGAGAAATAAAATAACAAGAGCTCCCGTTCCTCCCTATCTCTCTGTGTGTGCACCGACAGAACCGATTTCTCAACAATGCCAGGGGGGCCAGCGCGTACGTGCACGGAAAGAAGGGGCCAGCGCCGCGCGAGCACGACCAGAGTTTCACGCGTTGGGAACACACCGTCACGGGCGTTGGGCCGCTCAGTCACCAAGTTGGGCCAGCCCATCTTCAAGCAAGATTGGGGCGGGGGACCATGTGGCCCGACCTTGGCCCACCTAAGCATACACGGCATCGTTGCGCTTCCGCCGTCGTCGTTGCGCCGAACGAAGACACGCTCCTTGGCTACGAAGCACTGGCGCACGCGGCACGCGCATCGTCATCGTCCATCGCGACGCGTCTCGGGGCCCGCCGGAGACGGAGACGGAGCGGAAGCGCCCAGTTTGACAGGAGCCGCTCAACCCAACTACCCAAGGAAAGCTGCCCGTTGCTTTGCTCCCTTCCGCATCTCCATCAGCGGCACGGCATTTAAATTCCATCGCATTCCATTCCATTCCACTCCACTCCACTCCACTCCACTGCACCACCACCACCGCGATCTCGCCGTCTCCCTCCCTCCCCCACGCCCCGAGCCCCCAAGGCACAAGATCATGGCCGGCTACCCGCCGCCTCCCGGCTTCGGCTACCACCACGGTCCGCCTCCGCCTCCCGGCTACCGCGCCCCGCCGCCGTACGGCTCCCCGCCACCCCCTCCGCCCCCCCCGCCTCCCCCCTTCGGCGGCCCGCCGCCGCCGCCGCCGCCATTCGGCCATTTCGCGTCGCTGGTGCCCTCGGCGTTCCCGCCTGGCACCGACCCCAACGTGGTGGCCTGCTTCAAGGCCGCCGACCGCGACGGCAGCGGCGTGATCGACGACAAGGAGCTGCAGTCCGCGCTGTCCGGCTACAACCAGAGCTTCAGCCTCCGCACCGTCCACCTCCTCATGTACATCTTCACCAACACCAACGTCCGCAAGATCGGTGAGTCAGTCAGACGAACGACCTCGCCCTCTCTCAGCCTCTTCTTCTTCAGCCTGCTCCTGCCGTTCTTCCTTCCAGTGCGCGGCACGGATCGATCGAGGTAGTGCGTTAGCTGGTGCCCTGCTCGTCGTGCTCGTCAGCGGTGCGGGTCTGCGTCGTCGTGCACGCAGCTCGGCACCTGTAAGGCTGTAAGCCTCCGGGTTTGCCTTGCCTGCACCCGCGCAAGATGTTTTGACTTTGGGAAATGGGAGGGAGAAGGGTAGTACGCGGTAACCGAGTAATAGCCACCTTAGTTTATTATTATGTTGTTATTGCCAAAGTTTTTTTAGGGGAATTTAAACTTCCATTAACCAACCATGTCAAGTTGGCAAAACCAAAATAGGGTTTAGTAAATCTAGAGGCTGTTTGGATGAGAGTCTTGTCTCGTGGCCGTCTTGGGGCAGGCAACTTAAGCCAGGCAGCACATCTAGCCTCAGTTTACCAAGATCAAACGCATGGGAGTGTTGCCTGTTCTAGGTAGCTCTGTCCAGCTCTCAACCAAACAAGTTTTTAATAACTAAGATTCATCTGATCATGTAAAAGCAAATTGACAGTAGTAGTAAGATGTGACATCGCCCTCGCTAGTGCCTAGTGCTCGGGTAGGGGCAGCCCGTCCCCGTTCACGATGGTGGCGTTGGTGCTTTACTCCCTTCGTCCCTTAATATCTGTAGCCGAGAACTAAACCTAGAAACCAATGTGAATGGCAAAAGACCGTAACCCCCCTGTGTAACAATGATTTGTCATCTGCACATTTGAATGGACATGTCATTAATGCTATGTTTGTGGTGTGAAGAAGCACGCGTGCCACACACAACATTGATTTCTTTTACATCAAGCAAATCAGTGTGTGCTATGTGAGGCCGCCATCGGGAGGTGAAGGGATAAGGCTGCCTGATTGACGGTGCGGTACAGCTACGGGTGAGGCCCATGTGGATAGGCAACGGCAATTAATTAAGGACATCTAACTATTCCCCCAACGATAGATATTTAAGGACGAATGAAGTATGTGTGTGCATCCTAGATAAGACAAACATCAATATCCAACCGTCCACATGACACGGACATTTACTCTAAGAGCAAATTTTACTTTCTTGACTTACACCTACTTCGAGATTGTGGACTGTAACCATAATATAAGTAATTTACATGTCTATCTATAAGTAGACCATCGCCCTCCACGTTACTGTCCACCTCCTCAGTATAAAACTTATTTGAAAAGTGTCCAAAAACATTTTGTAGTATAATTTGTATTTTGAATTGTTTTTTTATCAAAAATATTAGTCCAATTGTTATAATTTTTTTTAAAACAAAATATAACTAAGTGAATTCTTTTCGGAACTTATTTCTCTTTTTGCAGATGTTGAATAGCGAGAAGCTTATATACTTGTGTATACAAGCTGTTTATAAGAGCTTCTATAAAACAGAAAAAATTCTCGAGCAAGTTGAACAATAAAAAATTTATATGTACTTGTCTATAACAGTTTTTGGAAATAGAAGTTTAACGATCTCGATAAATAGAAAAAAAAAGTTTACATATGCCTAGATCACTACAACAAAAGAGTTATGGCCCGATAACGTTAGTCACACGTTCCAATCCTGGGGAGGACGAGAACTGAGTGCTAGCTCAATTGGTGTGCGCCGCGGTTGTGTAGGCCACCCGCCCGGGTTCGATGCCCATCGGCACCGGGTCTCACCGGGAACAATGTTTCCCTTAATAATTCTAGTTACCTCGCACGGATGTGCCACCACGGTTATATCTTTCAGCCGTGTTTTCTTAGCCTTAGATATAGATTGTAGGTCTAGCTTGCGCACTAGGGTTTGTGTGAGTGTGTTAGGGTGTGTACGTGTGGTATGAATTAGTGCGTGAGTCTACAGCTTGTAATTAAAGGTGAGGCAATAAAAAAAAACCTGGGGAGGACGGCGCGGCGCGCGCTATCCACTGAGGTTGTGGGCTGATGGACCATCGAGCTAATTGGGCTGTGAGTCCCTGTGATGGACTGATGGGCCTTTATCTTGGGAGTATTTTCTTTCACACGCATGCACGGGCCGGCGCCTCCCACAGTTTTCGGCCTAGTTTCGCAACGTCGCAAATTGGCAAATAAATGTCCCGTACGGGAGAGCCGAAGGTACATGGACCAGTTCAAAAACTATCCAAGCATCCATTCCGGCGACTGAGTGCGGTTAGCACCCTTTGCAACATCAAACCAAAGGATTAAACGGTTGTCACTGGACCTTGCCCTGAGAAGAAGTTGAAAGTGGTCAGATCGAATTACAAAAATTCATATAAGAATGTAAGATTCTGGCCACCTTCATCCTAGGGCAAGCTCACACATATGCCATACTGCAAAACTACTTAATGTTGTTTACCATTATTTTTTTGTTTCGCTTTAGTTAAGTTTGGAAATCAAAATTTACATCCTTTTTAAATTTCATTTATGCAACTATGCAAGCATGAGCAGGATTTTCTTTTCAACTAGCCTTTCTTACTCCATTTGTCCCTCAATGTATTTCTAGATGCCGTTTCACAATATGAATTCTCACTTTAGTTAAGTTTACAAATCAAATATTTACCATCTTTTTTTATACTTCATTCATGCAACTATGCAAGTGCGAGTAGGATTTTCTTTTCCATAGGCTTTTTTTACTCCATCTGTTCTCAATGCACTTGGGCGTGCCATTTGACAATATGAATTTCACTTTAGTTAAGTTTGGGAATAAACTATTTAGCATCTTTTTTATGCTTCACGCATGCAACTATGCAAGCAAGAGTAGGATTTTCTTTTTCTTAACCATTTTTACTCCATATGTCCCTAAATGTACTTCTGGAATTTTTCAAACAACCTTGCATGTTAACATGGTCTATATCTGACAAGTTTTTTTTTTATCTAAGATTGTGTAGAGTCCAAAATGTTCATTTTGAATTCTTAGATTTTAAAATTGAAAGTTATGAATTTTCAATGACCTTAAATGTTGACATAGTCTATACCAAAGCTGTAGCTTTTTACACAATCTACAACATTATAGTTGATAATTTTTTATTTGATATAGTTGAGGAGCCCAAATATTACTTAGTCAAATCTATTTGAAAAAATATTTTTCATTTTATATTTTCTATAGGTGGGCCCACTCGCGTCAAGGCTATAAAGGGAATGTTCTCATGTTTCAATTGCTGCTATAGCAGTGCTGTAGCGGAGCCGATCGGAGCCTCAAAAGCAGCTCATGGCTGTTCCATTTCGCAGTTCATTTTTTAAAAAACAGCAGCCAGTTTTCATTGTGCTACAGTATCAACAGTTCTCCGCACCTTTTAGAGCCGGGCCACCTAGAAGCCGCGCCAACAAACGAGGCCTTAAAAATGCATGCGTGAACACCGTGTTTAGCTAGTGGGCTTGGTTTTTTTTTTTTTGCTGTGTTTTCATTTTTTTGTTTGGAAATCATTTATAGATACGGGACCAAGCCTGTCGTCTTAGTAAATGGCCAATTATAAAGATAGATATTGTTCCCGTGCTACCTCTATGTAAATAACCGGCTTACACTGAAAACAATTTACACAAATCTTTTGGCAGAGGCTGTCTCTAAAACCTCCTAACTTTTTATCACCGCTATAAATCACTTTTATAGTAGTCTGACAGAGTGATAGTATGGTCTGAGTAGTCCGATCACCTCGTGCTATGGAGTCTTCCAACTTCACCGAGGTGCACCACCAAAATCATGCACTAGTTTTGACTAAAATAGACATGCACTGCACCTACCCAAACAATGCGCCAAAGTTGTAGATGCAATAAAAAGCTTATAACTTATTTGTTTATACTAGGACATGTCCGTGCAAGCATTACTACATGTGAAAAGACTATACTGAGTTTGTCCGTGACAAAGAGGCCTATCTTATAAAAGTGAAAAATACGTACTCTGTTCCGTTGTACTGGATAGGATTTTCCTATAGAAGATTACTGGGCTATTTCCATAAGTGCATGCATTTAGGGCCTAACATCGAAATCATATATATATATAGTCTTTATGTTCATTTTTCATAAGAGCTAGTTCTCACTTCCAAGTGTTATTTATTTATTTATTTCGCATAAATTTAGTAGATTGCTTTACATTTTTCCAAGAATACATCAAGTATGTTTTTTTTTCAGATTTTATTTAGAAATAATAATCGAGGAATCCACGATGATTATCGTTCACGTGATACTTTGTACTAGGTATCAATGCGAAACCTAGCTTGAGTTCCGGATGGATGACAAGCTCAAAAAATAACATGAAATACGAGGCCGCTCGATTGAGCTATTGTTGAATTTTTTTCTCCCCAAAACATGAACTACTCTCCATGAACTACCCTTTGTGTGTACGTCTACGTACGTCAATGAAACTCGCTTCCAAAACCATTTGAAAAGATAAATTAGACCTTTTCAAAAGTTAGATGATGACACTAAAAATTTAGTTTTACAACTGAGGGAGCAAATTGGACTAGCCAAATTGTTGAAGAGGTCAAATAGATTTGTTTCTGGCGCTTTGGGCACGGTCACGTACGGCCCAGCTCGGTTTCTTGCTGTGGCTGATGGCCATGAGCTCATCAAGCGAAGAGATTGAGGCGGTGGGGCCATGGGCCATGGCCTGCTGACCTTGTCCCACCTAAGCATAATGGGCATGCTTTCTCTCTCTCTCTCTCTGTGCGCGAGCAATGTATGTACCGTCCAGAAAAAAAAACGTAATCACGGGAAGCACACCGGTCAAATTATCTCAACTTTAACCAAGCTTATAAAAAATAATATTAGTATTTATATCTCTAAATAAATTTATTATAAAAATATATTCTATAACTAATTTAATGATATTTATTTTGTTTTATGAGTGTTAATATTTTTTATATAATTCTAGTTAAAATTTAAATTGTCTATGAGAATTGCATTTTTTTTTTGACGGAGTGGGTACATGCCATGCACGGAACGAACAAAACGCGTGAACGCTATCGCCGCGCCGAAGACACGCTCCTTCCTTGGACACGAAGAGGCACTGGCGGGCCGCGGGCGGGCGCATCCTCGCAACGCGTCTTCTCGACTCGAGCCAGAAGAAGCGGACCCAGTTTTACACGCTCCCCAAGCCGTTTCGGCTCGCCACGTCATAAAACCCAACCAGCCTCCAACTCCATCTGCAACCAAACCAAGGAAAAGGAGGAATCCATTCCATTTTCCATTCCCAACACAACCTCCCCACCAGGCCACCGCCGCCGCGATCTCGCCGTCTCCCTCCTCCACGCCCCGAGCCCCCAATCCCCCATGGCCGGCTACCCGCCTACCGGCTCTGGCTACCCCTACGGCTCCGGCGGGGGATACGGCGCCCCGCCGCCGTACGGCTCCTCGCCCGCGCCCTCCGCGCCTCCCTACGGCACGAAGCCCCCCAAGGAAGGCAAGACCTCCTCCGGCTCCGCGCCCCCCTACTACGGCGCGCCGCCCCCCTCCCAGCCCCCCTACGGCGGTGGGGGCGGCTACGGCGCACCACCCCAGCAGTACGGGGCCCCGCCGTACGGCGGCGCCCCGCCCTACGGCGCCCCACCCGCGCCGTACGGGGGAGGAGGGCCAGCAGGGTACGGCGGCAGCCCGTTCTCGTCGCTGGTGCCCTCGGCGTTCCCGCCGGGGACCGACCCCAACGTGGTGGCCTGCTTCCAGGCCGCCGACCGCGACGGCAGCGGCATGATCGACGACAAGGAGCTGCAGTCCGCGCTGTCCGGGTACAACCAGAGCTTCAGCCTCCGCACCGTCCACCTCCTCATGTACCTCTTCACCAACACCAACGTCCGCAAGATCGGTGAGTCAGTCGGACGAACGGCCTCGTCCCCCGTCGTCGTCGTCGTCCCCTCGCCCCCTCTCTCTCAGCCTCTTCTTCAGACTTCAGCCCCCCTCTGCTCCTGCCGTTGTTCGTTCTAGTGCGCGGCACGGATCGATTCGTGGTAGACTGGTAGTGCGTTAGTTAGCTTGTTGGGGCGGGCGGGTGCCCTGCTCGTCGTCCTCAATGGTGGTCAGCGGTGCGGTTATGCGCCGTGCACGCAGCTCTGCTCGCCACGTGTAATCCTCCGGGTTTGCCAAGCACTCTGACTCAGTGCCTGCTCCCGCGCAAGATATTTTGACTTTGGGAAATGATACCGAGGCCTCATGGACATTACCATTTACCAGTGCAGCTCCTACGTGGGTTTACAATACTACTACTACCAGCCTGTGACAGACACACAGATTTGTCGGCTTAGCACCAATTTGATCCTTTCTTTAACAAGTCCAGCGCTTACTTTCTTTAGCAAGTTAGAGTTGGACTTGGATTTAATGGCAAATATTGATTTGCAAGTAGACCCATTTCTTTATGCGCAGCGCAGAATCCAAGATGATTATGTAGAGGAGTAGACTGTAGACAAAACTTATGGTTATAAGATTTAAGTTCCAGTACTGACCATGTGCTGTCGATACTGCAAGGAACGTGAAGTTCCTGTTGGCAGTCTTATTGCAAACCACGGAACTTCTTTGTAGTGTGGCAATGGTTGAGTACTGCTAGTAGGCCATGTTGCTCTCTAGCCATTTGCTGTAACTTGGCAGCCTGGCACATAGTTTGGCAATCAGGAAATGGAAGAGACCTGATGTATTGTTCCAGTCAGCTCTAGATGCGTTTATTTAGAAATTACTTACTAGTTACCAGCTGTCTCAGGCACACCGAGCAGATAGTTTACTTGCGTTTTAGACTGATTGAGTGGCCAATAGCGAATCGGTCAAGTAGATCCATTTCTTTATGTGCAAAATCCAAGATGATCATGTAGTAGAGGACTAGGCTATAGATGACTTAGGTAGTTATAGGGTTATTTTTTCCAGTACCGCTCACGTGCTCAATGTACTGCAGGTAACATGAAGTTCCTGTATGGAACTTCTTGTAGTGTTTGAACAATGAAGTATTGTTAGTAGGCTATGTTGCCCTTTGGCCTTTCGATGTAACACTGGAACATAGTTTGGTAATGGGCAATCCTGTTTGCTTGAATCAGTCCAGTTTGGTACAAATTCTGTGTAACTTGAAAGCTCTAACTTGATCTTCGTAGTCAAAACAATTTATGCAAGATTTTCATATACCATTTTATTCAAGCCATGAGATGTGTGTTTCTTCATTCGTGTGAACTTAAAAGATCAGTGCTAACTTGTGTTTCTTTCTCTCCCTTTTCCTGACTAGTATGAAGTGCACCTATATCAGATTCAGCATTTCCCTTCTATCTCCTGTATAGTCTAGATTTCTTAATAAAAATATGCTAATGTGTGTTTCTGCCCTTTCAGGACCCAAGGAATTTACTTCTGTGTTTTACAGTCTTCAGAACTGGAGAGTAAGATGACCTACAACTTAATGTTCCCTTTTTCACTTTACCTATATGTAAGCAAAATTGAACAATGAATTATTGTAGTGAAGTGATGTTTCGTTGTATTTTCAGGAAATATTTGAGAGGTTTGATCGTGATCGAAGTGGTAGGATTGACACATCAGAACTGCGTGATGCTCTTCTCAGTCTGGGATATTCTGTCTCTCCAACCGTCCTCGATCTGCTTGTGTCTAAATTTGACAAGACTGGGGGCAAGAGCAAAGCAATTGAATATGATAACTTCATTGAGTAAGGACCTTCCTTCAATCTAACTGGTTCTCATTTTTTAACAATGTTTTCCGAACCTTATCAGTAAGGAAATTATTGTATTTCACAGTTGTCATGGATGTTCATAACTGGTTGATATCAGCCTATGAGTAATAAACTTGCCTTATAACTAGTTAAAGATTTACCTAGACTGATTTGTTAATGAACTGTCCTGTTAAGTTCAGTTATGTTTTCTGATGCAAGACTATTGTGATGTCTAAAACTGATTTTTTTTTTAATATCCTATCTGCATTCAGTTTGTCCTACCTCAAATACTAACTGTGTTTTCTTTTTCTTTCTTTATCTTTGCAGATGCTGCCTCACTGTTAAGGTAACTAATGCCTGCACTGTAGTGTGCAAACGCGGACATTTCAAACTTTGCATCTGATCTTGCAAATACAGTTATGATCTTACCTGTGGTCATTTATTTGGATTACTTTGCAGGGACTGACTGAGAAGTTCAAGGAGAAGGACACTGCATACTCTGGGTCGGCAACTTTTACCTACGAGGCCTTCATGCTGACCGTGCTCCCTTTCCTCATCGCGTAGTGGCAGTTCACTCCACAGCTCAGAACAAGCTTTATAAGCCTTTTTAAGTATTATTATGTAATACTATGCCTGCTGTACAAAGATGGTTATGTGCGCAGAGTGTTTTTAGATGAGTTTCAGTTCTGGGTTTAGCATGTGTTGCGAGTCATAAAGTTACTCTGGAATGGAGAAGGTACTTGTTGGTTGAACAGATGCTTTATGGTTGTGGCCTGAGGGTGGGTATGGGACTATGGGTGGCTCAGAAATTGCTGCATTGTGGACTTATCAGTGTGTTGAATAATAACTACTCACTCCATCCCAAATTATAAGACGTTTTGATTTTTTTAGACACATTACTTCTACTATATATATCTAGACTACTACTATACATCTAGACATAATGTATATTTAAGTGCATAGCAAAAGCTTCGTGTCAAGCCAAAACGTCTAGTTAGTTTGGAATGGAAGGCCATGCTTCGTTGCGGGGTTTATGGCCACTCGCCACATACTCGTTTCATTCCACGATTGTCCATAGCATTTCTAAGCTGTGCCATCTGCCAGTGTGGCTCCAGAAAAATTGGAATAAATAGCGAGTTTATTCCTTTAGGATCACTAGTTGCACGCGAGTTTTGCTACTTGCTTTAACCTCAAAATTCCTCATCAAGCATTGCTATGTTACAGTAGCTAGGGCGCTGCAAATCTCTAAGTTGGGAGCTACCCCAAATTTCGTACCCACTTTTTCATGATCAATCTACTTGATTCCTATAAGGAGAGCTCGTCCATGCAGGTCTCGCCCTGTCCCGAGAGTATTTAACAGCCAAAACGGATGAGCCTAGTGAGAAAAGGCCCGAGCCTTTGTAAAAGCTGTACACTGCGCACACACGCCATTTACATTTAGTATTGAACGGTGTGCCAACAAACACGCATGTGTCTAGAGCTAGAACTAGAACGGAGTCTGGCACAGCGGGCAAGTCGATTTGTTGGACGTCGAGAACCACTTGTAGAGGCAGGCGCCATGGAACTTGTGCTTGCACGTCTTGCACGCCAGCCGTGGGAGGCTGTGGTTGCTGGTGTGGAGAATGCTGTAACAGATTGGGCACTCCTCCACGCCCTCGAACTCCTTGTCGAAATTGCTCTTCCATGTGCAGATCGCCTCTGCTATTGCGCCGTTCTGCAGAGAGAAATAATTAGCTTAGTTAAATAGAGCTACATTCTTAACGTCACAAAGCCACCAGTAGTTGTCCTCTAATTTGTGTTCTGAGTAATTACCTGGTTGCGGACGAATGATGTGAGGGAAAGCAACCATTTTCTGCACTTCACTTCACTGATACCCAAACTTCTTGTGCATTCAACATCGACGTGGCGCAGGGGGTAACAATTCGGGAGGCGTATGACAAGATCAATTCCTGTCTCCTCCTTTTTGTATGTAGCAACAATTTCGAAAGCTGACCTGTTGACGCTAACTGAGAAATTCTCATCGCCGTACACAGAGTCCTTAACCTGCAACAGGGTAAAATTAGTGCAACAGGCAATTATAAAGCTCCTGGGGATGACATGGACTGATGGACCTATGTGATTTCAGGAGATGTACAGAATGAAGCCACTCAGCCACTGCCACATGAGGTCAACAAAATATAGAAAAATAAAACTAAAAACAAAAGAAATACTTGTGCCCAATTGGTTATTTGTATACAGTTTTTAAGGGTCAAATAATAAACCTTAGAAAGATCAGAGCTGTGCAACAAATTTGAATATGCAGAGCCAATATCTTGTAAAAGAAGGATCATCTTACCTGAGAAAATTCATCTAGCAGAAGAGGAGGGCTGCACCATTGTTTGGTGAAGGACTCGATTGAGTATGACAATGAACGGTCTCTCAAGGTAGTAAACCATGTGCGCACAAACGAAGGCAGCAGCCTAATCATCATCCCATACAATGAGCCTGCAAGTGAGGCCATTTGCAAAGTCCCAATGGGCCAAACAGATTCCAAGTACGGAAGCAAAGAACAAGTAGCTATGGCATTCTTCGAAGCTTTGGCAGCAGCTTCTGCTTCAGGCGCTAGCTCAGTATCCTTTTTCTTCCCACTCGGTGCAGCAGCCTTTACTGGGATATGCTGGAAAATGCAATCCAATATGCACGGACTGACCTTTTCTTGTATATATTGAAGCACATCTCCCCTGATACTGGAAGATGCTGGTAGTATCTGCAGGTGGGACAGCAACAATGCCCAGGCAATGAATACATCAACCTAGTGAAAGAAAACACCAACAGACCATTAGCACACGAGCTAAGAAAAATTGCTTTTGAATTTAAAATCACTAAATACAGTAAATACAGTATACCCTATCGCGAGCTGTCAGATCAGTTTTGAGAAGTTCAGATGTTGGGAACTCGATTAAGTCTGAAAGTTCATCTCTTAAATGTACTTTCTTCTCTGAATCTGGCATCAACTCAGCACTTTGGCTTATGCCAGATTGCTGAACAGATGAGCAATTTTCTCCCATTGAACAATTTTTAACCAGTGAAAGCTGACAGAAGGGCTCAGACAGAAGTAGAGAGAAAGCTGCAAGCTGTAAGTGAAATATTGGTTGTGAGGAGAAAAGAATCGAATATAATCCACTGACGGAACCCTTGGTCAGTCCCCAAAGTTCCATGGACTCCAGTGCAGACTTTCTAATTTGCAGTGGAGCATTTTTTATGAATGATGCCACAAGTTCCCAAAAGTGCAAATAAGCATGACGACTAAAACCTATGACAGATGAAGCCTCTTCACTGCAAGATTTTGCGATTGCCTCTGAAACACCGGAGGCCAAGAACAAACGGAGGATACTCTCTACCATCTTGTCATTACTCTCAGCATAGTCCCCTGATCTAATAAGCTGTACACTCCAGGAATTTTCTGCTTCTTGGATATTACAAAGATGGTTGAGGTGACACATTGTAACCAAAGCAGATTCTGCAAGGTTTAATGTTAACTTATCTGTAGTGCCAACCACTAACTTAAGCTTCTCCAAGGCATCTTCACTTGATACCTGGTTTATTGTGGCATCATTTATGCCATCAGTCATTTCTTCCACAAGCAAAACAGATGATTCAATACACTTGAATACCATGTGGAACACAGAATGCCAATCATTCTCCTGAAGGTTTCTCCAGCAATACCCAACCACAACAGCTGTCAGTTTCACTCCCAGTAATTCAACTGTCGTTGATACTGCAGTTTCACTAGTCAACAATGATGAAGCTGTACTACCATAGAAAATCTGGTATTTCTGAAACAGAGTCAGCATTAGTGATCTTTCTGTATCACTAATCTCTCGCTCAACCACAACTACCAATTTCTGGGCTCCTCCAGTTATCCTCAATGGAAAGCAAGACAACACCACTTGCATCCAGTCCTCAATATCTGACAAAGTAAGAGACTGTATTACATGATTGTAAAGGCAATATTGCACCTGCATTATCAAATATAAGAATTCTAATGCAACCTACCTTGTACAGGTATCTCCCTTGGGCTGGTTGACAGACAAGAGATGGCTGCATCAAGCCAACTCTGTATGCTTTTCCAAACCAAATCAGCATACGAAGAACCTCTGTTCAAGGCTGAGAACTGTTTTATGATGGAGGTCATAACATAGGGTAGAATCTTCAAGCATTTTCTATTAACTGATGAGCCAATGAAAAGATTGCTCAACAGTTGCTCAAAAAATACAAGTGCATCAGATTCTCTCCAGAGACAATCATTTGTATTAATAGTAAATAACAAAGCCACAAGAGCGCGGAGAAAACGATCTTGAATTTTATCAATCTCGTTGTCAGAAAGATGCCAAGCATTAAACAGTACCCATGGACCACTCTCATGCATAAGGGCAGCACCTAACAGTGCATCAAGCAACAAGGGCACAATGCTGATCTCAAGATATGATTCGTCTTTCATGTACTGAACCAGCGAAGGTAAGAATGTTTTCAGTGCACAGCCTCCTTTCCATGTCCAAGTGCAAAGGACCTCACCAGCCACCCATGCTCTGGACAAGGAAAAGATGCGTGAAGTGATATCAATTAATTGTGATGTGGCAGACTGTATATTTCCTGGAATACCTAAAACCACTTCACTAAAGCCAAGTTTGAGAATAAGCCTATCAACAAAGGCAACAAATCGCTCGTGTTTCAGTTCCTGCAACAAAGGAATTATTCATTTAGTTCACCAGATCTACTATAGTGACTAACAACTCTTGCAAATAAAGTATCATTTCACAACTCCCAAACACAAAATTCAGATAGTTGACAGAACAGCACAAATCAAGTATTTTTTAGGGTAAATACTATTTATAACAGATAAGCAACATCTTTAGCTAAGAACTACATAGAAATGTCATAAGATAAGACCCAGCGTCTCCAAGAAAAAGTGTTAACTAAATATTTGTTGTGTTAAGTTGAAGCGTGAACTATGGGGGAGGGCTGACAGAGAAAAGTTCTCTTACAATTTCATCTGTAATATCTGGATGCAGCTTGACCTTCACAGATGCTTGCCCATTTTGTAAAGATGGCATCAACCAGAGCGGCCAATATTCTCCCTCAGATAATAAAAGATCAAAAAAACTTTGCAAGTTTCTGTGATCAAGACAGATGAGCTTCAACATGTCCACCACCCACTCGGAACATAAGATTGCTGTCCTTTCCACATGCAAGTCTCTCGTCTGAAATACAGCATACCTGACACACTGAGCTAGAATATTTGCCAATCTATTCGATGTGCATGAGTGAAGATTATTCCAAAAGGATGGACTTAAGCTTTGGTGAAAAGCATGTATGCTTTCTGCAAGGTTAGCCTTCAAATGCATTTTCTCATCCAAATAACCTTTTGAACTGCTGCACATAGAAACACCAACTTCCGTGTCTTCTATATGATCTTCCAAATAATTTTCTTCAACAAGAGCTAAAGACATGCTACATTCCCATTCAATGACAAAAAGAGCTCCCAGAATAGAAGGAAATACAGAATTTTCCTCAAGTCTCCGAAG